CTTTAGCAAAGGTTTAGTCTGGCGAGATTCTGTCTATTAGGTGCAAGCTAATAAAGGAACTAGACTGGACTCCCTTGTTGTTGTTCTTGGGCTGGGCCTGACAGTGTACTTCTCTATTATTTGAAATTTCGGGAAATAAGAGAAACCTGGACAAATCACATACAGGGCCTTTTTCCACTTGCACCTAACCATGACATAACCATGGCCTGGCAACAGCTTTTTTCCTGTGCTATCCTCATGACATTGCATTCGTGTTATTCCCAGCCATGAGCGAGATATCCTTACTTATTAAAAATAGGGCTTTTCCCTCTAGGCCAGCATCATTCAAAGATAGCTGCCAGATGTATAAAAGCTGTTAGGCCTTGTCAGCCAATACCTTGGAGGGAAGTCAAGTAATTGCAGTGACTTGAAACAGAGGCAAGAGAAGGATCAGCGATGAGGAGACCAATTTCATGCTGGTTTTGTTTTCTCCTGACTCAAGGACAAGCAGAGAGGCCTTCAACCAAGCAGTGGGGAGAGCCTCATAGGAAGTGGCTAGCAAACTTCTTATGGCTTGGAACTGGGTGTTTCTCTATGAAATGAGCTATGTCTTAACCATTAGGAAGGATTCTGGAAACATTCAAAACAGACCAGCCATTTTTCTTGAAATGTTTTGAGCCCTGTGGCTCACTGAAATGGAAGAAGCATTGGTTTCTAATCATGTACATTTGTATTTCTCTCCTTGTTATATATCTAGTTTCTAATTCTTCCTGTGAACAGTCAAAACAGCAATCAAGAAAAACAAAGATTAGTCAAATTATAACATCTATATTTCACATTTGTTGAGGTACTCCTAGAAGCTACAAGGCAGCTTTTTATTATTTTTTTAATTAGGGGAATAATTTTTTGGCTATATTCCAAAAATGTTCAGCTTAACCACTCATTAAGGGTCTCAAAATATTGCTAAACTATAGTCTTAGCAAAGACAGCTGTGCAGTGCTTTGAAATAGCACCTGCCTGCAACTTTTTAAAGCAGCGGTATATTTTCCTGAGATCACATGGCAACCACAGAGAACAGCCACATAGTCCTGGGACAGGTGAAACTGCTTTACAGAGTTGTAGCTAAATGGGATGCTGTGAAGCCCCTTTCCCAAATTATTTCTAAGGAGTTGTATAAACACATGCAACTTGAAATACTAGTAAGAGTTATAGTTCAGCAACTTCTTCAGGACCTCATAGTCTCTAATCTTATACTAACTATAATCATGTCTTTGTCTGGTTCTTTGTTGCTGTGGTTGGGTTTTTCTTACTTTAATGCAAGCTGTGTGAAACAGGAATAAGCTCTGGGTTTATTTTACTGCAGACACGCTATGTATTTAGGGATGCAGTAAAAAAAAGGCATGGGTTAGAATACCTTCAAGGAGGGAAGAATATATGCAGTACTAGCATTCAAATGATTCTTTCAGAACCAGCCTTTGTGTTGTTGTCAGTGCTCCTTCCTTTGACCAACTATCCTGGCATCACAATCTGCCTCTGCCTTCCCGATGTACGCAGAATGGTTTGCTTGTTGAACGACAACAATGTGTATTGCCGTTTATCCCAGGCACTGGAGCTTCAGCAAGTGAAGGGTTAAGGCGAGCTTATGGCCACTAAGCAAGTGAGCTCATCTGAGCTGGAAAATGCTCCAAGAATTCTGAGCCACTCAGTGCAGATGATATCAGAAGTGGGGGATATCTGAGGCTGGAAGCAAAGCTACTTAGCAAATTGCAACATCCACCTAGGATACATTCCATGCATATTCGGGACCGCAAGCCAACTGATGGAAGCCACCAGTTCTGTAAGTAGAAATACTTGATATTCTAACTGGGTGGCTGGTAACTCTGTAATAGATAGTAAGGGATCTCTGGGAAACATAGAGCTGTTAACTGAATCAGTATCTCAGAGGAACTGAAAGTCCCAAACACCCAAAGAATGGGTTTTAGCTGATTTGTTTTTCTTCTGCTTGAAGCTATTTAATCAAATTGAAGCTAACATAAATTTGTTTCCTTGCCTGAGCTGAAAAATGCTGGGGATCAGGGTGCAGTAAACAAGCTTTCTACTTCAGTCCCACCCACATTCAGTACAATAGTTAAACTGCAAATACAGTTCAGAAGCTTCAGTGAAAGGCCAAACTTTTGGGTCGTGCTTATACTTGGGTCACCTGGGAGATCAATATTCCAAAATAATAACTGGGAGTGTGAGATGTTTCCCAGAGAAAAGCAGGTGAACTGTCTTCTTGAAAGGAACCCTGGAAGACAAGCTGTTAATTATGCAGTCCAGGGATGGGCAGACTTAGCCTTTGTTGGATCTACTTTCTTGATCTTATTGGAATCCAGAGATCCACCAACTGGAATCTGATGCAAAAGTCTGGACTTAAAATGAAAAGATTCAGAAGCCAAGACTGTGTTTCAAATACTGGAACTTAACACACAGTCTTTCTACACAAAATTCTACTCTGTCACTGTGAGTTTCCTTCATTTCAACAATGTTTCTTTTGCTAGGGGAAGTCATTTCGGTTAAACATTTCGGCATCAGACATTCTCACTAATGTACTACAAATCATTCAGAGATCTATCAGTTGCAATCTATTGTCTGTCCACCTCATGTGTAGTCTGTCATGGTAGCACAGAAGCCTTATTATAGGATATGCAAAGACAACCGGATCAATGAGGACCCACACAACATTCTGCATATCTGAATTGCAAAGGCTGCGGCTGTTGAAATATGCTTACACTCCCCAAAATGGGAACCTTCCAGGTAATGTCTTTGTAAGCTGCCCAGAGTCCCCTATTGTGGGGGAGACGGGCAGTGGAGAAATCCAATAAATAAAAAATAAATAAATAAACCATCAGATAGACTGTTTCTATTGTCTTCAGAGAAGGACTGTGCAGTCAGGCTTATTCCACCTGGTTCCTAGTTCAAACATCACAGTCTCAGATACAGACTAACTAAGTTTCTGCAGTCCATGCTAGAAAATCACTGTCTTTGCACAGAGGTTTGTAGCTTGGGCACTCCCTTTGGGGAGGCCTCTGTATGTTAGCTTCTGGATCATTCAGGCCTTGCTCAAAGATGCGGATAACACTTGATCCTTTTTCCTTCTAGCGTTAGCCAGCAGCCCTGTCCTGTCCTGTCCTTTCTGTAGTTAAACAACATTTTCTTCACAGAGACTAAGATCTTGAGACTATGTGGACCAAGAAAAATGTTTGTACATGTTTGGCCACTTCTATTACTGTATTGTCAAGTTGCCCCACATCCAAACGTATTAGAATTTGCCAGTGCCCTGAGTGTTCTATTTCTCCTGAGGCAACATATAAGGAGAATGTACAGCGGGTACCAGAAGGGTTTGGACTTGGCTTCTGGACTCCCAAAAGATTATGAACAAATTAGCTCTGGTACATTTAGCTAAGCTGCCAGTAGCTTCTCCCTTCCAACAGGAGCAGGCTAGCATTAAAAATGGAAAGTTCAATGGTGAAAATCAAGGGATCACAGCTCCTAAGTTATTGATTGAACCAAACATACTATCAGAAGGATTTTGAGGTGGTCAGACATTCCCATCCTGCAAAGGATTTCTGGGATACCTTTACTCCCTAAATCAAGATTAGAAACCACTTCCCTCACCTAATAGGTGCTAAAGGGAAAGAGAATCCAGTTCATGTGCCGAGCCTCCCCTGGTTATTCTGAGGAAACAGAACTTCTTGTGCTTTTCGTTTCAGAGTTTTCAAGCAGGACACTGCTGAAAACCTTGCAAGTATTTGTAGAATATCTATAACGGCACAGACGGTCCTGAATGATAATACATTTCTAAATTCCTAGTATTTTAGTCTTTCATGAGTAATGTTCTTAAATTCACAAATCTACATACGGTATGTTCCCAAAATTTCTCAACCACTGGACAACAATTACGAGAGAACAGATTTCTCAACAAGATGTCTCTAGGCAGCCTTTCTTCCATAAAATTGTCTTGAGCATTAAATCAACTTAAGAGCCAGTAGGTAATATTTTCTAGGATCTATCTTGAAGAGAAGGTAAAACAGATTTGAGATACCATTGAAAGTAGTATCTTTCCTTAACTGGCATACTCCTGCATTCTTCACATCTAACTTCCTTTAATGCAAGGGTGGAAAACCTATATTTTATTTTTTCTTTTGCAGTCCAGAGGAAAATTCCATTCAAATTGAGGGATTTTAGAAATATGCTGACAATCCTAGACTTAAGTAGGGTCCTAACCTGTGAGATGGTTGTTCTACCAATGAGTGCCCCCATATTGATATAATGTTAGTATTGAACGACTCAAAAATATGAGTGATAGCACAAGTATCTGATGGCAGATTACAGAATGACCGGGGAAAGACAAGAAGAATATCTATAGGCTCTCTCCCCACTTGACTTTAATTCTTTCGACTTCTTTAATTTTTTAAAAATAGGAAACTGGCATGCTCCAAAGCAAGCAGCCAATCTCTAATAACATCTTGATTTCTAAAAACACTTCCAGGTCCCATTAGGCACACAGACATGCTCAGGAAAGAGTGTTGGTTGTAATTCACTGCTTTGTTTGGAAGTATGACTATCTGCTTAGAAAAATAACAAGTAAACTCAGACAATCAAGAGCATCTTAGGAAGCTGGGGTGGTGGGGGTGGAGAGGAACAGTCTCATCTGCTTGCCATTTCATAATGAAATATTTTGTGATTTTCCATGCAAGGTCCACGATAACAATGATTTTGTGATCTCCTACGTGATCTCAGAATTCTAGATGTACCCACAAGTCCCTGCTTCTCCTGCAGATAAGCTGAGGTAGCTGACCTTGCTTTGATGGCTGCAGAATGTTATTGTTCTAAAGGGTTGAGGTTAACCTTTTCCTACCAAGCATCCTCCAGATGTATCAGACTACACATTCCATAATGCCAAAGTACCATGGCCACGTTGTGATTTTGTGTATATCTTTATGTGGTATGGGGTAATGTACTGCAGTATAGTATGTGTTAGCTTGGATAAAGAACCCAGGACTTAGTTTTGAGACTCAATGCAGAGTTTTAAAAAATCCCAATTGACTTCAAACAAATCACAGATTTTCCACTCTAATCTGAATCTGGAGTGAGGTTAGTTCAAATGGAGCTTGGTTCATGATCTGACCTTGGGAATATATAAATGGCTGCTATTTTCTTCAAACGGAGATCAAATTTGAAAGGATCCCTTTATGATGGGATCAAGCCTTCCAACTTTATCAAAATCAGTGCAGGCCTTTTTTTCAGCTAAGCTCCATTTTGGGGCAGGGGGTGGATGGGGATATCAGTAACTTGGTTGTTTATGGGTGGAATTCTATGTCATTCGCAGCACTTAGTCTGTGCTGGGATAAATATCCATTTCAATTACAGATCGATATATTGAAGGCTGCTGTACAAGATAGTTGCAAAGAATGAATGTGGTAGAGCTGTTTGTTGGATGGTTTAACACACATATAAATGTATATAGACAAAAACAGAATGTGCAGATGATTTATTTGGGGCAATTAGTAAATAAATTCCATTATGTCCAATACAGTAGGTAAAATATAGGCTAAAATTACAAAGGTGATTGACATAAATCAAATGCAATAAGTAGTATATAAGCATCTCCAGGTTCCCACTCCTTTCACCTCAGATGGAGTCAGAACCTTCAGCAGCTTTGACAAATCCTTAACGAATATTATCCTTGATAAATATTATTGGCCCACCAAAACCATCCCAAGCTTGTGTTAAAGATTTTCATTATTTATGTGCCCATTGTGGCATGAGTTCTCATTGCTGTAGCTTGTAAAACCATGCTAATTATATGATGCTTGAGTATGTTCTCCTGGAGAAGGAACAGCAGCTGAACTTTTGGGCATGAGGATCTGGAGGTTCATGGAGCCTGTGAGATTGATAAGTCATCTGTCATTGATTTATTTTTTCCACAGTTGCCATTATGTATTTTATATTATTATTCATTTGGTACGAGATAGGAGTGCCATATACATTGATTAAATAAATATCTGTGATTCAATTAGGTCTTCTGAGAAGAATGAATGAATAAATGAATGAATGAATGAATTCCCTTAAACTGTCTGCTTCATGGACTATCCTTTAGTCCATGCAGCAGACAGTTTTATGCCATCAGGAATATAAGCCCTGTTAGAGGTGAGATACAAATCAACCACCTGAACAGGCACATAATCAGAATAGTACAACATAGATATAAATGTGATATCAGCAAAGTAATCTGAAGACCTATCCATGGATCATGGATAAAACACCAAGGTACCTTCACGTCTCGGTCAGACCTGGTTTGTCCACCTGAAGATTTAGACATAGGCATCCATTCCTAACCACAATGCCAAAATATAAAATTGCACTGTCACAAGCAATAGCCTCACAACATCAGATGCAAATACATAAGGGGCAGTGTTCGTGTAGTGATGTTGTGATGCCCGTTTTGTTATTTACCTCTTGTCCTTTCCTGTGGATGCCCATGTTTCTGGAGACAGCCTTCAACCTTTCACCAATTTTAGAACCATCTCACAGTACAAAGCACACAATGGTTTAATGTCAGTTCTTCTGTTGTTTTTGTATACTGATTTGAACATACCAGCCAGAAAGAAAAACAGAGATTTTAAAGTAGCTTTCACCAATCTGTTACCTTCCAGTTGTTCTGAGAGTTCAGCTCCATATATTCCCAGCCAGAATAACCCATAGCGGAGGGCACCAGACTGGGGAAAGCTGTTTTTAATAAATAAAAAAGCAACCGGTGTAAGCAGTACACTGAGCCTGCTTTTGGTTAATAGATCTCAGCACCTACTGAGGCCTGGAGACTCAATGAGGGAATTGCTGGCTGGTGACTACCAGAGACAGGAATAAGCTTGCTGAGTCTCTCTACAGAAATTTAACTTGGCTTCAGAGCCTGAAATTTCAGGCACATGTGATAACATTAGAGCAACTAAAAGCCCTTCTCCTGGGAAATGAGATAATTCACCATCTTCCTGTTTGAGAATGTTCTTCAATAGATTAAATATTTCTGCTTTTTCTGTGCATTCCACCACCTTGTTATTTGCCATGAGAATTACCAGATGAGATGGGTAAAAAAAGACCATCCCGCACATTTTAAGCGAGCACGTTAAGGAATCTTGATGGAGGACCCCCAACCTTGAAGCCAAGGTGTAGGGTCCTTTTTTTAGGGCCGTGCAATATTCTGGTTCCTTCTGCTGTCCAAAAGGCAATTCTTCCTGAGCCCAACTGTGAGACAGTCACTGAAATATGATGAGTGTGCTTCCACTGCAAGCAGCTTTCTAAAATTATATACCCATCGTACTAAGTTCTCTCAGGCAACCTTGATCGGAGCCCTGAGTTTCAGGGAAAGGCAAGCAAAAGCTCACAAAATACACTTTCAGAAGCTGTAATACTGTTCTGGATTTATGGCCTAGCCTTGGCATGTGGTTGAAACAATGAGTCAGTCATGCCCATAAATAACATCAATAAATTATGGTCCATGGCTTGGGCAGAAGTGGAGAATCTTATCTAGGGCTGCTCAAATTACCTGAATTCCTCTCTCTCTTTTCCTCTTTCTCTCTTCCCCACCCTTCTCCAGAGGTGCTAATGCTGTGAGCCTATAAAACTGGTAGCCATGGAAACCCAAGCCAAAGAAATGGAGGAGGGAGAGAAGTCCCCTGAGTCCAAGGACTTGCTGCCCAGCCAAACAGCCAGTACCTTGTGCATCAGCTCACGGAGTGAGTCCGGCTGGAATGCTCCTCCCCGGAGCAAATGGGACATTTATCACAAACCAGTCATTGTGCTCTCGGTGGGCGGAGCAGTGTTCCTCTTTGGGGTTGCCATTACTAGTCTGACTTGCCTCACCCTGGACAGAAACAACACAACTAACATAAGCAACAACATGGGCAACAAAACCAGCAACATCACCAAGGAGGTGTTTAAGCTATGTGGGCCAGCCTTCCTTTCCCTTGGCCTCATGCTGCTTGTGTGTGGGCTTGTCTGGATCCCCATTATCCGCAAGAAGCTGCGGCAGAAGCAGAAATATCACATCCTCCAGAGCATTAAGTCCTTCTTCCTCAACCGCTGAAGGCAGCTGTTCTTGGGTTTGGCCGCAAGGCTATTTTAGCAGGCTGGAGCCTTCTTGTTACAATGTCCTGCAAGTCAAACCAACTCTGGCCTGAAGGCAAGCTCACTCCTGTGCCCTTCCCTTCCTTTTGTGTGTTTAGGATTAGCCCATTTCTGGGCAGAAGCCACCATGGCTGTCTCTGGGCCCTCCGCAAGTGAATGAACTTTTCTTTTCAACAAGAACAGCAAGTCTTTTTAATGCCAGAGCAGATCCCAGAACAGCTACTTTGGCTAAACGTGATTGTGCATTTAGCGTACTGAATATTGCTCTGAATATTGGTTACACTGTCTGAATCACAGAGCTTCAAAGTGGAGACACCGTCTTATATATTTTCTTAGAAGAAACGGCTTCTTTGGGGGCAAAACTGCTGGCAGAAAATGACGCTCAAATGTTGTCTTGTATGAATGAATATAATAAACATATCATGGAAAGAAGATATTCTTCCATTCCATTGTGGGAGAAAAATTAGGGGTTAGAGACTAATCAAAGACAAATGTTCTTAGAGTGGGAAGTGCTATAGAAAATGGACTTTGAAAGTGGTGGGGATATAAAGCTATATCACTGAACAAGGAGAAGACTGAATCTTCTATGAGGAAACCGGGTCTTACTTACAAAGCTTGTCATGCTCTGTTTGCTAGGCAAAAGTAGCCTTTGTTGCTATTTTTTAAACATGAGGGGGTGTTATTTTTTTTCTTATCAGCATTCTTTTGGATTTGAAAGGGGAAACTAAGAAACTGTAGGGATCAGACTTATCCCCGGCACCATAATGTGTACTTGTGGACAAACTCCAATGAGCAGAAGGAGATCCATGAACAACTAGAAAAAAGTCAATAAATGAACAGAACAAACACTTTTAAAATCGTGAACATGAAATCAATGTTTGAAACATATCCTGAAGGGTTAAGATGTATAGATGTTTAGAATGGCTCTTTGTCCATATATTTTGCCCTTCCTCAGCTGTTCATACTTGTGGTCAGGGAGAAAAAACATCACTGCCAATGACATTTGCTCCAAGAGAAGCATATTTCACTAAAACCAAAACTAAGTAGCTCTTGAAAGCTGCACTACATGCCCAGTTCTGAGATCACGAGTGCATTGAACTTGGCAAGCAGGAAGGGGAGAAAAATGCTGAGGCTCCGGTTTGAAAATGGGAGAGGAAAGTGATCTGCACAGGTGTCACACCAAAATGATCTCGGAGACTACTTCAAAGACCATTGGATTGTGGGTCTGTAGCTGTTACGCTGAAGCATGATGAGGGTATTAGGGTGAAATTAATCAGAGATGCAACCCAGAGGCTTTGCATGTGCCTCCTCATAGAGATTAATTTTTACAGCAATTTCCAGAGGTGGCCTTTTAGGTGGTGGTTTATCTCCCAGACAATACCAAAGTGCCTCCTTCCAGAGCTTTGTGGGCTCCTTCCCCTCTCAACCATTCCCATTTGCTTTAGGAGAATCAGACTAAAGGCTGACCAGCATTTCCTATTTGCCCCAGTGCAAGAATGGAATAGGAGGGCAAGAAGAGATGAAACCATCCTCAGTCCACCCCTAGCCTCCTGGGAAGGCGTTTCCTTGTTCTGCATGAGAAGTAGTGTTTTCCCCCTCCACTGGCAGATGCAGGGCAGTCTAGTACACAAGTGTGTTCTGTCTAATACAAGTGTGTTCTGTCTGACACAAACGCCTGGGTTCCAGTTGGCCTGCTCAGGCGGATATAGCCCTCCAGTCCTCTCTCTCGGCTTTGTCAGCCATTTTGTGCTGGGCTACCTCCAATTAAAGGCTAGACCTTTCCTTATCAATTAAAGTTCATTTGTGGAATGATGAAATGCTGGCCATTTCTTTGTTTTTTAACAGGCTTAGTGGCAGAAATGCCATTTTTTTTGTTTCTGTTTTTGTTTTCCTTTCAATGGGGGTGGAGGGGGAGTTGGCAAGAGATCTGCAAAGTTTCCCTTTCTAGCCCAAGTATTCGGAAGAACTATAAAACTGTTAACACTTCCCCGCACCCACACCCACCAGCCCTCAAAAGACATGCGCAGAAGAAAGGCAATTGGTGTTTGCTTTTCTAGTGTGTGTGGGGGGGGGGAGCAGGGGAATCCACCAGTTTGGATATATGGTAACCAGGATCTGAACAGAACACTAGGCCATCACTCTGGCCAAGGACGAAGAAAGAATTGAAATCTGCAAAGAGATTTCTTAAGTAGTTTCATCTCTAGCTGTGGTTTATGGCTGGGAGACAAGTCACTGAAGGCTGCAGTGCAGAAAAGCGCAAAAAAAGAGTTTTTATTTTGAAGGCCCCCCTGACAGCTTGTTTGAACAATCATCCTGCATTTCCAGTCCATTTTATAAGAAATCCTATTCTCTTAAACTTTACTTCTCTTTCCCCTTCCCACCAGCATCTAGTACTCACTATGGCCTCAACTGTTCTGTTCTGAGTTTCTCAAAATCGAGAGACGATATACTTTCCTATAGCTGATGCCTTACTTCAACACTTTGGGATAGAACAGAGAAGTTTCTTACATGTGATGCACTGTTCACACTTCCCATTACTACTGTTTGTGCCCCTTCTTCTTGTGCAAAATGTAGTCAACTTTGCTGAGAATGGCATTTCCCTCTTGGTAAATAGTACAATTTTCAGCTGTTGTGTATAAGCAAATGGCTTTGAAATCCCAAGTTAAGATTTTGTGCTGTTTCTGGCTTCACAATGGTAACAAAATGGTTGCAAGACAGCTCTGGGGCCAAAAGGAGAGTTTAGAAAGAAGTCATAGGAGTTGTAAAGTTTGTGTTGGAATTTAAGGGTGTGGTAATCACTAGTAAAAGAAAATGTAAATAAAAAATTCACAAAATGACACTGGAGGCAGATTTGTGTTTTGGGTCATAATGGCCAAGCTTATAATTAATTGACATTTGGAATACACAAAAAATCATATATAATGATGCACGTGCTACCTGGAGGGGGGAAAAAAATCAAATTTCCCAGAGTTGAAAAGTTATAACATCTCTGTAACATACTGTAGGCCAGCCTAAAAAAAAAATGTTGAGAGAGGGAAGGCACATATTGTCATTATTTCCTGAGGACAGAAAGCCAAAAATGGGGATTTTCTATGCCGGTTAGAGAAAACTGGATGATGTGATCTCTTGATTCCATGGGGTAAATGCACACTGTTGCAGCCTCAGTGACTGTACAGTTTGTATGACAGTTTACTTCAGAGCCAAAACTGCTATCAGAAACAGCCATTAAGTCCTTCCTTCAAAGCCATATTTACAATGAAACCCTAGGAAGTCCAATCAGAGATAAATGTCGGTTCAATTTATTCCATCCCAAAGTGGAAGCTTTACTTGCATATAGCCTTCAAGGGCCTGGAGGGGGAAAAGGCAGGAGCGGGCCCTTTGAATCACAAGATTCCCTAACACCAGTAAAGGGTCTTGTCTATAACTGTCCAGTATTTTTCTTATGATACTGTAGAGCTGGCCCCTGCTGGCACAGTCGCCTCTCATCTCAGTTTATCTCCTGTAGAGTAAGAAAAGTGGAGACTATACAATATACACTCTGCCACTGTCTTGGAGAACATGGCAGGGCTTGGCAATCAGCCAGCCAGTTTCCAATCAGGAGGAGGGCAGCAGTTGAAATTGGAGCATTTTAAGTATTTTCTGACACTTCCCGTACGGGAACAGCTACCCTTCTCCTGGGAATTGGTGCTTTCAAACTGCTGTACCGTTCCAGCCCACACAGTGTACTGTTCAATCAGGCTAGGAAACCTCTCCCTTTCTGGAGTTTTCAGAAGGAGCCAAGATATATTTTCCCTTTACAGAGCTGATAGTTTTTGTAAGAAATGCAGAAAAATTATTTTAGAGAAGTCTGTGGAACGTAGGGACCCGGAACATAGCCCTGCAACATATGTATTTGCCTGACAAGAAGAAGAAAACCTGAATAAATCTACATGCAGATGTTGTTGGAAGTATCTAACCATGACACTTGCAGGAATGGAATGCCAGCTACTTCTCTGATATATATGCTCTACAGCATATCTTTGGTTTAATAGAATTAGCTTTGGCACAAATATAGCTCTCGTGGCTCTACAGTGGATCCTTAGTTTCTCCCCTAAACAGCAAGTGCTCCCCCCTTCTAGGTTCCATGGTAGGCATAATGGGTGGAGATGATGTGTGTTGTAGTCCAACATAGCTAGAGAGTGCCATTTGAAGGCAGATGCTTCAAATAACAATGGCATCTGTTGTCATTTCAAGCCAGGTTAACCCGGGTTCCATTTGGACAGCTGCAGGTAGCATTCAGCATGAGACTCTGATCTCTAGCCTGGTCTCTTCATCTTTTCCATTCCTTCCAAATGGATACATAAAAGCCTGAAACAAGCTCTCTTGTCACTGCCCTAAAGCATATTTTATTTGGGTCTCTTGCTGCAAATGCTGATCTTATAGCTGTGGCAGCTGATCGTTAAATGTAATGAACCTTGTCCTCTCAGTATCGATATGGGAAAGGCTTTTAGGTTTTCCTCCATCCCAGCCTTCAGACACAACTCAGGCATCCTGGAGTCTGATTCCCTTAATAGATCCAAGCCTTACAAGGCAAGGACATCAGAGGCTCAGCTTTTACTCATGCCACAGCAGCTATCTCTGGGCCTCTGACCTGGTGACCTCCATGCTGCCCTTGTCAGATTTTATATTCTTCTCAGGAGATATTAGTATTACATCTCCCATTTCTGAAGGGTAGTATTAAGCCTTGAAGAGTGGCCTTCCCCCCATATGCATCTACTTCTCTTATGATTTGTTGGGTTCAAGGTCTGCATGCAATTTATATTCCAGCCTTGAGGGAAGCCAGAGTTTGGTGGGAGAGTCCATGCTTTTCAGGGGACTGGGAGACACTCCTGCCTGAGGATGCTTCTGCCTGGAGAGCAACTGCCTGTCTGTATATGATTCACTAACTTACTCAGACTGATGGTTGGACTCACCTTCAGGCAGTTCTTTTTTCACCTGAAGAAAGTGATGCAACTCCCATTCATGGTAGGCCCCATCACAACTCAGTCTCTCCTTCCATCTTTCTATCAGCAGTTTTTCTTTCTTTCTTTCTTTCTTTCTTTCTTTCTTTCTTTCTTTCTTTCTTTCTCTTTCTCTCTCTCTCTTTCTTCCTTCCTTCCTTCCTTCCTTCCTTCCTTCCTTCCTTCCTTCCTTCCTTCCTTCCTTCCTTCCTTCCTTCCTTCCTTCCTTCCTTCCTTCCTTCCTTCCTTCCTTCCTTCCTTCCTTCCTTCCTTCCTTCCTTCCTTCCTTCCTTCCTTCCTTCCTTCCTTCCTTCCTTCCTTCCTTCCTTCCTTCCTTCCTTCCTTCCTTCCTTCCTTCCTTCCTTCCTTCCTTCCTTCCTTCCTTCCTTCCTTCCTTCCTTCCTTCCTTCCTTCCTTCCTTCCTTCCTTCCTTCCTTCCTTCCTTCCTTCCTTCCTTCCTTCCTTCCTTCCTTCCTTCCTTCCTTCCTTCCTTCCTTCCTTCCTTCCTTCCACAATTTCTGTATACCATCTTCTGTATACCATCCAACAAGGGATATAGTGGAATTTGCACATCTAATAGGGTGCTGTGCATGTACTCCAACAGATGTCTGCAATCTGAATGGATGGTTCCCAGGGTTGGATTGAAGTCATGCATGTAGAATTCAATGGATTGTTATTACTGTGGATTCAGATTTAGTGTGCATTTGTAGTTTTATACACATTTAATTGGGAGTATATCAGTTATTCTATATTGAATACAGTCCCACTTGTTACAACCAAGAAAATATAGAGATATAGATATATTCACAAGTTTCCTAGACATCAAGCAAAATAAATTAAAAACTGAATCTTGCATTGGATGGGGATCAACTATGAATTCCAGCTTTGGCTAGACTGGGAATTTAAAAAAAAAATCTCAGCAGAAGATAGTGGCAAACCACTTCCTTAACACTGCCAAGAAAACTGCATGAATGCAGGAGTCAAACTAGACTTGAAGGCATTTTTAACCTTAATGCAACAGTAAATCATAAAAATTGAACTCACTATAAAGGTCAATTACAGAAATACCAAGATAATAAATAGTATACCAGTTGTATTACCTAAAACCACCATCAATGTCAAAGCAATTAATATAATAAGAACTGAAAAGGTCTGGGACAATGAAGAATAAAGTCTTAACCTGATGCCAAAAGGACAGCAATATGGAAGCCATTTCATCTTTTCCAGGCAAAGTACTCTACCAAGAGGGGAGAAGACTTCCACATTAATTCAGTCTTCATCAACTTCATGAACATCTGATATCTTCTTAGACAACCTTTGATGCTTCTATCTGGGAGATGCATGACTAGTTGCATACAACAATTTACCAGATGCTAGCATTTCCAAATTTCCAACAGATATTAATCTTCAGGATTTGTGAATGAGAAATTGGAATTCTTGGATATTCTCAAAATCATAATTTACAGAGTTGCGTGTTTTTCATAACATTTATTTACATGCTTTTAAATAATAATGAGTGGTCATAAAAATAAACAGTGAACATTTTTCTGTGATAGGGTTATACTAAAAGTTTCTAATTTTTTTGTAAAAAAAACCCAATATCATAATAAATGCATGGTTTATTATGATGATGATTAATAATTAATAAAAATATATGTTATATTTCTATAACATGTAAAAATGATCTGAACCTGATATAGACATTTGATAACAAAAACATTAAAAGAAAGGAACGTTGACACAAATACCAAACAAAAATCATTTTGAAAATTGAAAATACCATAAATATTCACTCTTTAAAAGTTATTTTTAATTAATTGCCCTATCTGATAGTCTTGATCTTCATTTTTTGACAAATAGTCTAGAAGCAGAGACATTTCTTTCATTTTGCATTAATGTCAGTGAGATTGTTAAGAGTGCATCCAACAGCATCTTCAAGTTGGGCACTGGGTTGCTTCATATAAGCTTATTTTCTTTTTTAGTGATGAAAATATTTTGTCTGCTTGCTCTGATTTTGGCTTTGTCATTGAAATTGATATTGCTTTTGCTAATTCAGATTTTAGACCAGTTTCTAACTTCATGTATTCCACAACAACATTCATATCTTCTCTCCACATTTCTTCATTAAAGAACATTTTCCTTTAAAAAAGCTTTCCATTAATGATTTTGCTAATCGAGCTATTTCTTTCTTGTTTGCTAAAGCAAAAACATTGTCCTTTTCCATCTCATATAAACAATATTCCTTAAATATTTAATGAGAGATACTATATCAGAGTCGGACACGACTTAATGACTGAACAACTACTATATCTTTATTTCTGCATTTAAGCAATTCATTTCTAATTTATTTTGAAAACATATTACTCAAAGCAGAATTCTGTTTTCCAAATTACTGAAAAGAAACTTAAAAATCTCTTCGTTTGTTAGAATATTTGCATCATGTTTACTTAATCCTTCAGCTACTAATTGAACAGGTTTTAAACTATTTAACACAATTGACCAAGCTTTGCTATTATAAAGCAATTTTTATCAAATTTAGGATCTTTAAAAATCTTTCATTCTTTTTAATGTACTCCAGCATGTTTTACAGTTCAGAGTAACTTGTAGTTCCCTTTTTTTCAGTATGTATGTGTATTCATAACTATTCACTGACTCCCTTTCTCTTTTCTGGCAAAACATACAGAATTTACAACCCTGTTGCATGGCAGGAAAACCTTGGTTTTAATGTGCTGATTATTTCCTGCTGCAAAAGATAATTTCTTGTTAGACAATACTTAAACTGCTTTACCATTTTTCTTATACTAAATATTGCTGGAGAGACATCATCTTACAAGTCATACTGATTGGCTCCAACT